CCCAGTGCCTCTAGACCCCATTACATCCCAGTGCCCCTAGATCCCATTACATCCCAGTGCCCCTAGACCCCATTACATCCCAGTGCCCCTTGATCCCATTACATCCCAGTGCCCCTAGACCCCATTACATCCCAGTGCCCCAATCAACTGTGGATGACTTCCTGTTGATGTGTCTGAATAACAAAAGTTCTTAACTCATTTAAGAGTTACAACGGTGCTGAGCGTTCTACCAATTGTTGCCCCTAGACCCCATTACATCCCAGTGCCCCAATCAACTGTGGATGACTTCCTGTTGATGTGTCTGAATAACAAAAGTTCTTAACTCATTTAAGAGTTACAACGGTGCTGAGCGTTCTACCAATTGTATTCCCCCTTCATGAACAGGTGTATAGTTTTTCCTTCTGTAACAAATTAGACCTGACTTCTGGCAGCTGTAGCCTCACTTGTCATTTACAAATAGTTTTGCATGGAAAGCTAATTTTTTTATTCCCAGATTTTACAGAGGTAGAGAGATCTCTCTATAAGTTAGATAGATATACCATTAAAAATTATCAATAAATACATGTCTGCTATAGAGCAATTATAACTTTGGTCAAACAGCTAAATTGGTCAAACAGCTATGTTGGTAAAATGTAAAGTTCTGGTTGAGTTATGGATGGCACCGACTGAGCAACAGCAAGGAGTAGATCTCAAAATATCACATTTCACAACCCTGGCAATTTTCTATTACAATAGTAAGTTCTCATAAAACAAAATACTATAGCACAAACAATAAAATTTACAGTAAAAATCCTAATTTTTTTTTTCTTCATGTAATTGTTAAGACAAGTTTGATAAAATAAATATTTAGTAAACAAAAACCTGTTATGTGAGGGCAAATATTACCCCACTCCCCAAACAAGCCTATTGAAGATGAGTGAGGATATGTGTATGAAATACACTGACAAAATTTTCTCTGAAAACTTTGAAGTTATAATTAAAATGTAAGGAAATAACTGAAAGTTCACAAACTTTTAGTAAGTGGAAAGTACCCATTGAAACCATGGCATAGTTTATAAAGAAAACATTTCAAATACCCATACAGCTCCTGTTCCACAAACTAGCACCGCCCTCATATAGTATACAAGAAGCTTATTATCTTTTAGTAAGTGGAAAGTACCCATTGAAACCATGGCATAGTTTATAAAGAAAACATTTCAAATACCCATACAGCTCCTGTTCCACAAACTAGCACCGCCCTCATATAGTATACAAGAAGCTTATTAACAATATTATGCAAAAGTTGAAGAGCCAAACTTTGGTTGAGCTGTGACATGGACAAAATGTGAACTCCACACAGTTTAGTGCATCAGAAACCAACTCAGGTATTATGATTATGATTTCAAGAGCTAAAACAAAAAAACCTGCCACATTAATAACATATTGCCTTTTCTAACTAGTGTTAAATTTATATTATGCTGAACAGTGAATGCAAAAACCAGTGATTGAAAGATTGAATCCTGCTCTTTAACATAAATTAATATTGTATAAAGCGAGACCATACTTTATAAAAACAAATTTATATTGTATAAAGCAAATTTTAAAAAAAACAACAAAAAAAAAACAAAACTAGATTGCTTGAAAAAAATAATAAATCATATTTTGTTTGGCAATTCACATATCTGAAAGCCATGACTTTTTTTTAGCATGTTCAAACGTATGTCAAGGTCTCAAAACTTCCAGGCCTGGCTAGTTCAATAAATACTGCCCACATCTCAACCAATCAGACTCCACAAATTCATTATTTCAATGAGGTAATCCAATTTTTTATCCAAAAAAACATTATTTCTGAACTTGCTTTAACCAACTAGATTTTTGTATCTCTCTACAATAACACAGTGAAATTTATCACAACTTTATACTTTGATAGAAACAAACAACTTTGAATTACCAGATATATTAATTATCTAATGATCTGGTAACTATTTTATTGTGACATGAGCTAAATGTTATTTTTTATTGTGACATGAGCTAAATGTTATGTTTTATTGTGACATGAGCTAAATGTTATGTTTTTTTTGTGACATGAGCTAAATGTTATGTTTTATTGTGACATGAGCTAAATGTTATGTTTTTTTTGTGACATGAGCTAAATGTTATGTTTTATTGTGACATGAGCTAAATGTTATGTTTTATTGTGATATGAGTTAAATGTTATGCAACAAAAAATGTCATGATAATTGTTTATCTTCTCCTGCAGTGAAAATATGCAAATCATCACATCACTGTTACAAAAATAATTTTAGTGTCCATGGTCAGTATCACTGAATATGGTAAATAGATAAGTTTCTAAATAGTTATAAATATATGTATATATATATATATATTTATATGTTACAATGTAAGCTTATACCTTTGTCCCTCTATTATATATTTTTCAGATATATGAGTTAATTGTTTTACATATTTCCTATTCACATATATGTTATATATATGTCATATTATATCTTTACCTCTAAATAATTACCTGTATTGAGATATATGTCACAGCGACAGATTCAGCACCAATACAAATGCTTTACATGTAATGTAATGTACATTTAGCTATATACATAAGTTAAAATGTACAAATTAATATTATTATTATAATTATTATGTTATAATAACAAATGAAATTACAGTTGCGCCTGCGATCTAGTTTAAATAGTGGTGCACGGATCTGACGGAGCTGAAGGTGATCGGGCAATTATTGATATCTTGCTCTTTATAAATCATCATCTTGCATGGACCATGATGCATCTGGCGTAAACTCGGCACTGTCGTGGTGATCTCTCATGGCAAATCTTCTGTCTGTCAGTGCCTGGGGAAATCAAAATATATGGGAAATAAGCAGTCTTGCATTTACTAAAGAATTCTTAACTGACACAGGTTAATTAGCCACAAATGATATTACACAAAGGGAATGTTAATTATTGTACGTATAGGGCATCTCTCACATGTTGGTGCCCTTGTGCTACACTTACATTCATCTTTCAAATGTTGTTGCCCTTGTGCTACAGTTACATTCATCTCTCACATGTTGGTGCCCTTGTGCTACACTTACATTCATCTTTCAAATGTTGGTGCCCTTGTTCTACACTTACATTCATCTTTTAAATGTTGGTGCCCTTGTGCTACACTTACACTCATCTTTCAAATGTTGGTGCCCTTGTGCTACACTTACATTCAGTTTTCAAATGTTGTTGCCCTTGTGCTACAGTTACATTCATCTCTCACATGTTGGTGCCCTTGTTCTACACTTACACTCATCTCTCACATGTTGGTGCCCTTGTGCTACACTTACACTCATCTTTCAAATGTTGGTGCCCTTGTGCTACACTTACACTCATCTCTCACATGTTGGTGCCCTTGTGCTACACTTACATTCACATGTCAATGTTGATGCCCTTATGCTACAGTTACCTTGATTGCTGTTAAGCATTGGCTCTGTGCTTAAAAAAGGTCTAGTTAGTTTGTATCCATCTCAAGCATACCCAAAGGACAATGGTTACTTTACAAAGAAAAATTACATACGTACACAAATTTTGACACAATCTTTTGCTGACCTTTTTCAAAATACTTGCAACAGAAATTTGAGCCCGGTCGTCTGCTTCACTGATCGCTTTCAACACGGGAGGAGCTACCCGTGTTTGCACTGACCTAAGCTGACCTTTCTGCAAGACCAGCAAGTTTGCCTCCAGTGAGAACCTTATGGTGGCAGGGTCCTGAAGCTTGGCCCCATCAGCAATAGGTGGCCTGTGAGATGCAGTCCCGTCTTGCAGTGATGAGTTGGGAGGAGGTAATGGCAGCTGGGAGGAATACTCATGTTGGTGGGTTACCAGTGGGTGGGCTATTTGTGGGTGGGGTACTTGTGGGTGGCCCATTTTTGGGTGAGATATTTGTGGTTGGGAAATTTGAGGGTGGTGCACTTGCGAAAAAGGTAGTTGGGGCATATGTGAAAGAGGTAGGTGGGGCATCTGTGAATGAGGTAGTCGGGACACTTGTGAATTAGGTGGGGGGGACATCTGTGAATGAGGCGGGTGGGACACCAGCATGTGAGTTTGGCTGATTGATTGCCCTTCAGCAGACTGTGTATCCCCAAGCTGCTCTCTCTTGACAAGACCCTTGTGAAATTCACCATGTTTAGGAGTCTCTTGTTTGGTGGTCTCTGAAGTTTCAGCACAGCTTTCCAGCTCAAGTGAATCTCTAGGTGTGTCACTTGTCTCAATGGCTGACCAACTATTGCTTGGGGAATCCTCATACAATGGGCTTGTCTCAGATTCAACAGCTTTATCCTGGCTTTTTCTGAACATGGGAAGATGCTGAGCGTCATTGGATGGGTTCGACAGGTAAAAGCTTTCCCTGCCCCTGTTGTATTTTTGAGCTTCCTGTCTCCGTGGGGATTGCGAAGGGGAGGTTACAGCCACCTGGAGGTGGTCATATTTTGTTGACCTCGTCGGCTCGGGCTTAGGGGATGATGTCCTCCTTTTGTAAGCTTTCTTACCAAGTTTTGAAGAGCTTTCAGGAGACATGCTAACAGTTGGTGAGAAAGTCCCATGTGTTTTTGAATTTTTGCCTTGGCTGAGACTATCCTCAGAAATGTCATCTTGTATGGTAGAGGCATCTGAATCTGAGGTTGGGGTCACGGGGTCAAAGTTCAGAATGTCTTTGAAGTTTGAATTCTGAGAGTCCACTGTGGAAGATGGTAAATTTTGGAAGCTGATAGAATTTGAAGCTTGTGACACAGGGCTGGTTGAGAGTTGCATTGATTTGGTGAGAGGTGACAAGTCATTTTGAAATGTTGTTGAAAATGGATCTTGGTCTTTCTCATGGTGAGGGTGATTGGGCTTGGACAAAGAGGGCTCATGGCGTGAAACGTTCATGGCCAAAGCTTGTAAGGCAAGAGAAGAATGACCATAGGAAGGGTCAGGTTTTCTGACAACCTCGGGTCCTTGAGCAGGAACATTAGACACAGCTTCTGTGTGGATAGTTGGTGGAGGCTTTGCAGCATTGGAAACTGGTTCTAACATCTCAGCCTCACTTTGCTTGTCTGTGGTGTCTATGGCAAACATGGTGTTACTTTTCAAACGTTGGTCATCACTACAGACACGGAGCTGTTGTGACATTGTTTCTAGCACTGACGAAGCCTTGGTCAACTTTGTCAAGTCTGTCTCTGAATGTTGTGGTCTCGTTAACTTTGTCAAATCTGTCTCTGAATGTTGTGGTCTCGTTAACTTTGTCAAGTCTGTCTCTGAATGTTGTGGTCTTGTTAACTTTGGCAAATCTGTCTCTGAATGTTGTGGTCTCATTAACTTTGTCAAATCTGTCTCTGAATGTTGTGGTCTCGTCAACTTTGGAGACACGAGTGTGGTGGCGAAATGAGAAGTTGTAGTTGTGGAAGATTTCTTATGAGAATCCAAGCTTAATCCAAGTGATCCATTACATAGAGCCCTGTCAGGTGGTGGCTTGACATCCAGCTTATCACAAGCATCTGGCAGTACTGCTGAAGCTGTGGTTCTGACAGGCCCAATGCTATTTTTAGACAACACATTTTTGGCCCTTGCACTCCTGGTATTTGGTGCTTGTATCTCTGTATAGAATGAAGGGATGTAAGGCTGCCCTTCAGTATAGGAGGGTTGTGTCCCCTTCTTGGGGTGGTTTGAACTTAAAGATGAACTGACTCTCTTAGTCCCAGGATTAGTATAAGATGAATTGACAGTTCTTTTTATGCTTCCTGTGTCTGGACTGAGGACAGTGGGTGAAATCTGTTCCCCTGTTTGAACATCACCTTGCTTGAAGCTCAAGTCTTTAGGTTTGGGAGATGGTTCAGGATGTACAGCATTAGCTGTTTGAGGCTTATCCAAAGAATGGCGCAACGGAAGCAGCTTCTCCTGAGTTACCTGCGGCTCATACGATTTAGTAGTGGTGGGCAGACTTTTGGGCAAGTATTTTTTTATAAGTTCATGTGCGGTGTCATGTTTATGGGATGCTGACAGGTCACTTGGCTTTGGGTAAGTACTTCTTTGTTCAGACTTTGCAACTGTTAAATCCAGAGGTTCTGTAGATGTCGGCTGGCTGTCCACATGATGAGGTAAAGTGGTTTTAATGTCAGTTGATTTGTGCTCAGATTGCCTTTTATCAAATATTTCATCAACACTTTTATGGTCACCGTTTCCAGGTGTTGTTGGGAATGTGGTTTTCTTAGGCAAACTTTTAGCACTTGAAATATCACTGGTTGGTGTCTGAGGTTGGAATGCTGTGCCTGATGATATATCACTAGCACTCGAATTGTTAACAAAGGTGTTTCCCAATTTGGATGAGGTTCTGTTATACAGAAGTTTATTTTGTGTGTTGTCAGCTTTAGTGGACCCATAATCTAATGTATTGGAGATGGTCCAACTGCTGCTTGAGACTGGAGTGACTGAAATAAAGTCAGAGCCATCATCACCGCTAGAGTCACTCTCACCGCTAGAGTCATTCTCACTTTCTGATGAAATAGATTTCATTTCAAGTTTGGATTCAGCATCACCCGACTTCCCATCATGCTGCAACTTTGTCACTCTCCATGCATTTGTTATGTTTTCATCTCCCTGAGATTTTATGTCGGTTGTATCTGTGTTGATTTGTGGGGCAGATGATCCCTGAGATTTTATGCTGGTTGTATCTGTGTTGATTTGTGGGGCAGATGATCCCTGAGATTTTATGCTGGTTGTATCTGTGTTGATTTGTGGGGCAGATGATCCCTGATATTTTATGTCGGTTGTATCTGTGTTGATTTGTGGGGCAGATGATCCCTGAGATTTTATGCTGGTTGTATCTGTGTTGAGTTGTGGGGCAGACGGTTCAATTCTCCACAGCAGAGAATCAGACACAGAATGAAATGTTTTCAACAGCTCCTGGTGAATAAATGGTCAGGTAAATGTTGTGATTTATGACTTGAGTTATTATATGGGAATGAAAGGTATGTTTACCAGGTTTAGCCCAGATGCAACACTTCACGTATAAGGTTGCATGGTAACCCAAGCCTTCATGTATCTGTACAGCTTTGGCTGGTACAAGGAAAAACACATTGTTGAACCCCTTACCACTCATTATGGAACTTTCTAGAAACTTCAAACATTTGGTTCAATCTGATTTCATAACATTTGAGGATAATCATAGAGACTAAAAGAAACATAGAAAGGACACTTATATTATCTTAAAACCCTTATTTCAAAAATGGAACATGCTTGAATAAGGCAGAAACTTCAAGAAACTTCGTTAAGACATAAATATTCACCATAGCGAGGAAATTTCCAGAAAAGTATAGAAATCTATAAAACTAAACTAAAATTTCCATAAACTTTTTAAAATGACTCTCATGTTATCATTATTTCAAGACTGAAATTTCTAAAACAAAAAGCCTAAAATCTAAACATTTCCATCAAAGTTAAAATAAGGCCTACGGCCGGGAACTGTTTTGTAAGGTGAAATTTTAATTATCAATAAGGCGGGACCTCCAAATAATTCATCATTAAAATAGTCAAGTTAAAATTTAAAAGTGGTCCCCATTAAAAAAAGACACATACATTGTATTGTCCTTAAGGTTTTTATTTACCCTGTGTATTTTTCTTATTGCTTTAACCTAAATGCAGTCCTCCCCGTATAAATGCAGTCCTCCCCGTATAATTGCAGTCCTCCCCGTATAAATGCAGTCCTCCCCGTATAAATGCAGTCCTCCCCGTATAATTGCAGTCCTCCCCGTATAAATGCAGTCCTCCCCGTATGAATGCAGTCCTCCCCGTATAAATGCAGTCCTCCCCGTATAATTGCAGTCCTCCCCGTATAAATGCAGTCCTCCCCGTATCAATACAGTCCTCCCCATATAAATGCAGTCCTCCCCGATCGAATGACCTCGTATAAATGCAGTACACCCCGTATAATTGCAGTCCTCCCCGTATAAATGCAGTCCTCCCCGTATAAATGCAGTCCTCCCCGTATAAATGCAGTCCTCCCCGTATAATTGCAGTCCTCCCCGTATAAATGCAGTCCTCCCCGTATCAATGCAGTCCTCCCCATATAAATGCAGTCCTCCCCGTATTAATCCTAAAAGAAAAACAAAATTTGGGCCCCAAAAAATTTCAAAGGGTCAGCTATTCCTTTTGAATAATAAATTGTAACAACTAAGTATCCCAAGTTTGATGCATTAATCCATGGATATAATCCATGTATAAATATGTGCGATACAAAAAGACATATTTTCTCACGTATATAGGAGATAAATATCATGCCAGAAATATACATGGATGAACATTTGAAATCTTATAAAGAGATTTTAACAAATATGTTTTCATTTAAGACACACCAGTAATGAAATCTTATAAAGAGATTTTAACAAATATATTTTCATTTAAGACACACCAGTAATGAAATCTTATATAGAGATTTTAACAAATATATTTTCATTTAAGACACACCAGTAATGAAATCTTATATAGAGATTTTAACAAATATATTTTCATTTAAGACACACCAGTAATGAAATCTTTTATAGAGATTTTAACAAATATATTTTCATTTAAGACACACAAGTAATTAAAATCACAATTTACATATTGATGAATAACGAACGGTTTCACCTTTTACTGTTTTTCATTGTTTAGTGTCTTGCACCGTTTTCAACTTTATCCCTACCGTGCCGTTATCTGATGTCAGTAAAAAATCGTGGCAGAAATTGATTGTGTGGGGAATTGAAGAAGCTTAAAAATGAATGTACATGTAAATAATTTACTTTAAACTACAATGGACCAAAACTGTTCCAAGTGTAACAAATTGTGCATTTGAGGCCCCATGATATACTTATAAAATACACCCACCCATTTAGTGACCATTTATTTATTTTTTTTATCGAAAGGCTGATTTGGGGATAAATAACATATTTGCGTTTTTCCCTTCCCAACGCACATCAGCTATATAAAGTTGGTAATAACAATGAATAAAGGAACCCACAGGACTGTAAACCCCTGGGAAAATTTTTTTAAAAACTTCATGCGCGCTCATGCACTATGTTCTAATTCTATTCTAATGTTCAAACCAACTTATACCATGCAATGGATTGTAGTTTCTTAAAATTGTACATTTATGTCCATACATATGAAGATTATGATTGCATTAAACAAGCTAATCTTTTGTTGAAAAAAATTATTGCATAAACGTTCTCAGGCACAAAGTTCTTTGAACATACAGTGAAACTCTTTTTAAAATGTGCATTTCAAACAAAAGCGCACCGAAAACTTTCTTTCAGTAGATTTTTTTAAAGCCCACTGAAGAAAGGCTTATTAAAATCTTATTAAAATCTTATTAACATTGTGTTGACCCCTCAAAGCCATTTTAAAATATTTGGTTTTTTCTCTTTACTCCTTCCATTTTACGATGTTTTAAATTACAACTTTTTGGATAAGGGGATTTCGACTAAACTTTCAAGCGACCAGGTGAAGGTCAGGAGGTGAGACCATGTCACTTGTGGTTTCTTTCCATTGTTTGGTTTTCTTTTAACAAAGTAGCAGATTAACAAACATACATGCATTTAAACAAAGTCACTATGAACTCTATGTAGTCGATTGATGTATTTAGAATGATTGAACTATGCAATTATTTTATGACCACCAGATTGTTCTATTAGCTCTCTACAATATTTCAATGTCAGACACAAGTTATTCCTATACACATTGTATTAAATCATCAAGAAACTTTGCATAAGAAAATAAAGATTTACCTTGAAGCCTGGCCTCACAGCAGGATTTGGATCCCATGACCTCTGTATCAGTTTGGTCAGTTCTGCTGGACAGCTGCCTGATATTGGGGGCCTCTTATTGACACGCACATTCTCAAGTATCTGCACACACAAATTATAAAACAGCCAAATGTTAGTACAACATAATTTATAATTTATGGATTTATTTCATCAGCTGTAAATTAACTTAAGTTTTTCTTTTGCTTGGCAAGACTATTTTGAATCGAACACTGAGATTTTTCAAATTCGCCTCAATCAAGTCCCTCCACCTGGCCTTTTACACAACTGATCCAATATAGTTACCCGGTACAACAACTGAGCCATAGTTACCTAGTACAACAACTGAGCCATAGTTACCTGGTACAACAACTGAGCCTTAGTTACCTGGTACACCGTCATGCCATCATAAGGTGTTTTTCTAGTAAGCATTTCCCACAACACAACAGCAAAGCTGTAGACGTCTGCCTTGGCAATGACATCACTTCCTGTAAGCAGTTCTGGCGCCATCCAGGCAGTGTTTCCCTGAATCTGTTTTGTCTTGTTGTTGCCCCTCGTAACTTTGTGATCCGCCTCGTGCCTGATTAATAAACATACTTTAAAAAACTTGGAGTAACCAAACTGGCCATGAACACCAGTTGAAACAGAGTTAACAAAATAGTTGAAAGAAAATGAATTTATTTAATCAAGTAACAAACATAACAAACATAAAACAACAGTTTTTTTAATAAGCTGAAGTTATAAATAATTTTTTTTACTTACATTTAACAAAACTCTAATGAATTACTTTAGGTAGAAATTTAATATTTGAATTAACATTAGGAGATCTGACTTCTCTTTGTACATTTTCTTGCAAAAACTTTCTTGAAGGAAGCTAAAAATGAAAATGGTAGCTTAACCTCTTTAATGAACAATACCGATGCACCTGTTTCAAGTTCTTATGTGTTAACTAGAAAAGGTGAACTTAATCACTTGACGAAACATGCATCCCAATCAGTGCTAACTTCTCGGAATTTTTATTTGCACGCCTTATGAAGTTTCCCCACACGATAACGACAGAGACTCACTTAAGTTTAGAGAAGCCAAAATCAGCAACTTTGGCATGGAGACCCTGTCCTAGCAGCACATTACAAGAGTTGAGGTTGAGGTGAAGCACTGGGGGTTGGCGCTGGTGCAGGTACAGCATCCCGGCACTGACGTCACGGGCGATTTGATAAAACTGTTTATGTTCCAGTGCTGTTCTGATGAGAGAAACCAAAGTACATGCTTATCAATCAGTGATCAAACTGAGAAAACTGTACCCACTTATAAACAACATACATAAAATTCTGCACGTGATGGATGTAAACAAACAACTGAAAATTAACATACACCAAGGCGGTGACCCTCACTTAAATATTGAACTTTCATTCCTAGCTCTGGCCTCATGTAAGATTTTATTTTCAAAATGTGAACCAACAACCTCTGAAAAACAAGAAACTGAACACTCCTGGAAACAAACACTGAACAAATAGAACATGGTTGAAACAGCAGATACCCTACCTGGAGGCAGCCAACTATGAAGTAGGTTCAACTTACCTGAAGGTATCATGCAACCAATTGTTTAATAAATACAACTTACCTGGAGGTTTCATGCAGTGAATTGTGAACTAGGTTCAACTTACCTGGAGGTATCATGCAGCCAATTGTTAAACAAGTAAAATTTACTTGGAGGGATCATGCAGTCAATTGTGAAGAAAATACAACTTACCTGGAGGTATCAATGTAGCCAAGTGTGAAATAGGTTCAACTTACCTGGAGGTATTATGCAGCCAATTGTGAAATAGGTAAAACAACTTACCTGGAAGGATCGTGCAGCCAGTTGTGAAGGTTACCAAGCACCATGTACTCAAGCACTACAAGTGGAAGTTTGTCAGTGGTGCAGACTCCAATCAGCTGCACCACATTGGAGTGACAGAGCTCTTCAAACATCGAAACCTTAGCAGACAGGGCAACAATATGTTAATCACAGTAGAACAGGACATGGGGGAAAACATGTTGGCATTATCAGAACACATCATTACTAATGCTATTACAAGCTTTTCGATACAACATGATTGTACCAGTGTATATGATGCCTAATGTGATCCATACCTTGACTGATATTGTCAGACATTCTATACAATGCCTAGATTTCCCACTACCTATAACAGGTAAACTCTTGAACAAAACATTGGTTAATGTTCCCAGTTGCATTATCCCCCCCCCCAACCCCCTTTCCCCACTACCGTCTGAATTCATGCAATACGGCAAAGAGAGCTTTTGTTACTATTTTTAGATTTAAGGCCATCCATTTCAGTAAATTTAATAAACATTGGTTAATGTTTCCCGTTGCATTATCCCCCCCCCCCCCAACCCCCTTTCCCCACTACCGTCTGAATTCATGCAATACGGCAAAGAGAGCTTTTGTTACTATTTTTAGATTTAAGGCCATCCATTTCAGTAAATTTAAACTAAGAAAATGCACAGACCTCTGCAGCAAAGTAGTTCCTGTCCCTGGGCTGTAACGGAGCTTTCAGTCGCTTTACTGCCACTTCTGTGTGCTGATAGGAGCCCTTGAAAACTTGGGAGTAAACATTGTCACCAAGAAGATCTGTGCATGAAGTAGGTAAAGTCAGATGAAGTAGAATGACAGTGCATGAAGTGGGTAAAGTCAAATGAAGTAGAATGACAGTGCATGCAGTGGGTATAGTTAGATGAAGTAGAATGACAGTCAGATGAAGTAGAGTGACAGTGCATGAAGTGGGTATAGTCAGATGAAGTAGAATGACAGTCAGATGAAGTAGAATGACAGTGCATGAAGTGGTTATAGTCAGATGAAGTAGAATGACAGTCAGATGAAGTAGAATGACTGTGCATGAAGTGGGTATAGTCAGATGAAGTAGAATGAGAGTCAGATGAAGTAGAATGACTGTGCATGAAGTGGGTATAGTTAGATGAAGTAAAATGACAGTCAGATGAAGTAGAATGACAGTGCATGAAGTGGGTACAGTCAGATGAAGGAGAATGACAGTGCATGAAGTTGGTAAAGTCAGATGAAGTACAAAAGACAGTCTGATGAAGTAGAATGACAGTGCAAACAGAAATGATCAGAAGTACGAAAAGGATTTAAAACAACCCGTTAGAAACACGAGTTCTCTGTGAGAAGTTTCTGGAAGTCATGGATGCATTCTCAGGATTATATTTTATCATTTGTCTCTATCCTGAAGCATTTGGGACAAAATGTCTCTTGTTTTGGTCAGTGGGACTTGGGCTCATGAACCCCCCACCCCATCCAGTCCCCTTCCCACAAGCCTATACCTCCTTGTGAAGTGCTTCAACAATCCTATGAGATCTGATGTTTTTGTTCAAGATACATGACTGAATATGGTGATTGCAAACCTCCTCCTGCTCACTATGGGACTTTGTTACAAAAAATAACTGGTGGTACTGAAAATGGCTCTCCCCCACCTTTGCGATTATGAAAAGTTGATGAAGCAAATCAGAATTAACTATCAGATAACTGTTTAGAATATTCAACAAAAAAACAATTTCTACTGTTATCTTAAACTACTCTGCTCATAGACCAAAAAATACATTTGACCAAACCATTCATCAATTTGCCAATGTCATTGATTTCTTCAAGTCATTCCTGCCATAGGCTAGCACTTCCATACAATCAATATTTTACCATTTTCAGAGAAATCAATAGCTTGTCTGTGCAGCTCCACTTTTTTAAGATTTTCAATATGAAACCCAGTGCTCAGTAGCCCAGGTCTTGAACTGTGAGAACAGAATGAAATGAAATGTCAGAAATAAGGAGCTAACACAAGGAAGAGGAAAAACAAAAATTTCATCCAAGTAGATAATTTCAGTTGAACAAAGTAAAATCGAATCAGCATGTGAAACCATCCCAACCAATCTCTGATTAATATCTGAACTAATGTGAGCATTGGGGCTTACTTATAGGATCAGATTTAATGACAAAAAGTATTGAACACAACCCGTAAGAAACATGACTTTTGAGTGAGACATTTCTGGAAGTCGTGGATGTATGCTGAGATTTTAATTACAACATATATAACACATAGTATTTGTTTCTTAACAGTTGCTTCCCACTTGTGAAAACTGAGGTGACATATTCACTCCATATCAGTAATGTTTAAAATGGACGTATAAGGGTGCATGAGTAGAGATGAAAAAAGTAATGAGCTCTCTTTCATACACAAGCCAAAGTAATCAGCATCTCTTTCATACAAAGACTAAAGTAATCAACTTCCCTTGATAAGTAGGCCAAAGTAATCAGCATCTTTTTCATACACGAGCCAAAGTAATTAGCATCTTTTTCATATATAGGCCAAAGTATCAGCATCTTTTTCTTACACAAATCAAAGTAATCAGCATCTCTTTCATACACAAGCCAAAGTAATCAGCATCTCTTTCATACAAAGACCAAAGTAATCAGCATCTCTTTCATATGTAGGCCAAAGTAATCAGCATTTTTTTCTTACACAAATCAAAGTAATCAGAATCTCTTTCATACACAAGCCAAAGTAAAACAACAAAAAACATATTAATAATGGGTCCAAAATGCGACCATGCATAAAATGACAAATGGATTTCTGCTTTAATGGTATATAAATTGAGGCATTTGGTTTCATGCATTATTGATATACCTTTGTTTCATTTCTGACTGGCTACTTACATTGGTGCTGGTTTGAAATGGCCTAGATTTTTAACTGGTGGCACAGTCTGAGCTGGAATTGCTTCCCTTGTTAATTCTGCTCCTGGGTCTCTGAAAACCCGGTCTGATTCAAATACATCTTCAGGCCCATTTCTTCCAGCTGTTTCTGAAGTGGATCCAGTACTCATGGGAGGTGGACTTTTAGTGTCCACTCCAAGAGCCTTTACAGCACTCATGCTCCTCCTCAGAGGAACTCCCTTTTCAAGTTCTCTGGTCATGACGGAGGGAGACAACACCAAACCTTCTCCGTCCTCATCCCCCACCCACCCCATGGCGGCCCGCTGACGCCTCCTCTCTCTCGCGGTCCTCCTCCTGCTGGCAGAGACGTGAGGGCTGCTCTCATCATCCGATGAGGTGCAGGAATTTCTAGACGGTGTTTTCCGTACATGAATTCCTAAAATCTCATCATGGCCAGAGCCTGTAATCCCTTCCAGTGGGTGGGGTCTTGGGGAGTAGTGGTGGGTGCCAGACCCTGTAATCCCTTCCAGTGGGTGGGGTCTTGGGGAGTAGTGGTGGGTGGGATTCTTTTGTTTTGGATGTGGAATTCCCATTGTGAGATGTTCAGCTCTTGAAGTTGAAGTGGTGTCTTTAGTAGAGTCACCCTTAGTGAAGGAAAGTTCATAACAACAGGTTCAGAAACATAACAGAAATAAAATTACCAAAGAACTAGCTATCATAGCTTGAACAGTACTTAAAGGCATTTTTTAATAATCTTTACTTGATTCGGCAGTTTGGTCAGGTGAATAACATAAGTGTGTTCAAAATGTCTAATATATTTATTGTGGGTGATTAATAGTTCAGACTAAGACATATTACTACAGGGGCAATAACAAGCATAATTCTTACCAAAGGGGAAATAATTGTGACAGGTCCACCAACAGTTTGCCTGGAAAGTGCTTCAGCAGATCTTCTGAACTCTAGTGAATCAAATAAATCATGGTTTTAAAAAGACTTGGATTCGTTGTGCATCCAGAATAGAAAATGAGATACTGTGCTTGAAACAAATAAGGGCACGTTACTTGGAGAACTGTGATACACTTGAGGATTCAGAGCTTGGGAAACTCATGAATGTACAACATTACAGGGGAAGTTTCTCTGTGACAGATCAAATATCTCACTAGAAACAACCTCAACTCTTCAAATCTTTGACAAAGCACAGTGAGATTGTTACAATATAACCTTCAATACACATTCAGCTAAACCATCTCACAACTTCTCCCATCCATGCATAGAAACTTAACAGTTAGATTAATACTCAAACATTGTTTGTGTGTCGAAGTTTTTATCTATGTCAAGCTACTGAATTTGCTAGAAGTTGTTCAAATGAAGAGCAAAACAAATTAGAGAACTGACCTATGTCACCTTGATCCCTAGCCAGCTGTTTGGTTGTCATTATGTCAGAAATTTGGGGCTGGAGGGAAGAGTTTGAGAATCAAGTTACACTATCAAAACATGAACATGCCAACATCATCAACTTTTGACAAGTAGAAACCAAGAAATCAATTAATTGTTTACATCTTCAAACAGCCCATGTCATATTTAGTCAAAGTTTATCATAATTTGAACTAAGTTCTCTTATCAATAAGTAATGCACAAACGTGTCGAGTCTATTGAAAATGTATACCATTAATCTGGTTCATAATAGCATCAATAAAATTTGGTTATTCCAAGTGCAAGTACTAATTTGGCCTACATAACTAACAGTTTAACATGCACATGACTAACAGTTTCACATCTAGCAATGGCCCAAAAATAATTTTAAAAATTAATTTTTTTACAGTTTAAAAAAATGATGGAAATTTGATGAGCTTTATAGGTGGAGATTAGTATCTTAAGGTTGAACATACCCCATCTAAGTCTAAGGCTGTTTTCATAGAACTTACCCCATTAAGTCTAAGGCTGTTTTCCAAGAACTTACCCAATCTAAGTCTGTGTTAACTGAACTTAACACATCTAAGTCTAAGGCTGTTTTCACTGAACTTACCTCATCTAATTCTAAGGCTGTTTTCACAGAACTTACATCTAAGCCTAAGGCTGTTTTCACAGAACTTACCACGTCCGAGACTGTTTTCAGAGAAGTAAATGATGCAGATCTTTCCAGGCCAGTTGGTTTTCTCTTCATGTTTGTTGTTCTGTCCATGCTCGCTGACCTCCTCAGAGTGTGCTTGGCTGCCATCTCATCTCGCATCTGTTGATCAAAGCAAATAGATTTCTAGAATTCCTATTTTCTTCCCTCTGTGTCAAATAAATATTTTCAAATCAACTCCCAGTGCTTACTTGAAATTGTTAAGACAATTTATGGATGACCAACCAAAAAATGTGCAGACCACATTCAATATGACAACAAGGTGAACAACAGATGTCATGTTCCATGACTGTTTTTAAAAAAAACAACACATATTATGATCAATGAATGTTCTAGGTTGAGGATCTTCAAACAAAGCCCCCTAATGAATATGTAATTAATGAAGTTGATGTTTAAAAAAAAAACTTGATGTTTTCCAGCTGATGGTTAATTTAAATTTGAAAATAATTGATATTAAGCAGTAATGAATAAATGAATATGTAATTAATAAAATGTATGTTAAAAAAATTGATGGTTCTTAAATGATGTTCCACACGTAACCGATTTGCACCCAGTTCCTTTGGGCAATTTCCCTGCGTCAAATCTCAGGTACCTGTTTTCTCTGTGTTGCATTTTTCTCCACTGCTTGTTGTCTCTGCCACTGCTGTTGTTGCTTGGCTGAATACTTCTGGGCGGCATGTGCAATTCCTGTGGTGGTCAAATGAACAGTCTAAATCAAACATTTGTCAGATTTTCAGTCCATTTTTTAAATGTTATGTCAGACATAAATCATCTTGGATAAAGAAACAATGTTATTTCTTCACTAAGAATTGAGGATTTATCAATGTTTTCTTATTTGCATTACAATTTAAATTTGACAAGGTGCAGGCTAAGAGTCAACAAAAACTTCATATCAGACTCTATAGTCATTCAGTCTACAGATTCAACAAAAACTTCATATCAGACTCTATAGTCATTCACAGGCTATAGAGTCAACAAAAACTTCATATCAGACTCCATAGTCATCCACAGGCTATAGAGTCAACAAAAAGTTCATACTAGACTCTACAGGCTAACGTATATTTCATTTGTAAACAGGCTTTTCTCTCTCTTATCTTATGTAACAGATGGTCTCTTTCGGCCTAACCACTAGGCTTTTTTTTTTACTCAATATAATGGGCCAAGGGTGCCCTACTGGATTAAATTTCGTTGCCCTCCTGCCGTACCACAAACTTATTTCCTCAGTAAATTAGTCCTCAATTTCCGCTCCCCCACACCTCCTTCATGGCTCAAAGTAGCACTGACAGGCATCTTTTATATCGATGTTATTCTACACATAATATACCAAATAGCTAAATTATTATTGAAATCAGCATTTATTTAGTTATGCGTGTGGAGGCATGAGTTGATGTTCTTTCATCTGATAATCGTGTGCATTAAGGATAAATAAATAACTGCGTCAATGGTTTATTTTACAGTTATTCCTCTTTAGGTTTAATGACATGCGATCTGCAAAGAGTTGACTCGCAATGGTCTGTGGAGCTATTTGGATTGGCCACCCCTGTACCAAGCTTTTCTCTTTTAGCCTATGAAGATCTGGTCAGCTTAGGTAGTACAAAGCACAGATCATGTCTTTAGATATTTGCTTGTGAAATTTCAGGGCTTGAAACAAAAGATTGAAATGGAATACAAGTAAGTAAAAAAGTATAACTTATACTGAACAGAATATGACAAATAAAATGTTTGATCTACCACAATTGTACGAGAGCCACTGACACATTAAAACAAAAACCACAGGTAAAATATTACCATCGTCAACAAGTCGACCAACAGGTGGAGGTTTCCCTGTGACCTTTGACATCTTCCCCCTGCCCTTGCCTGACTTTCTGCTGACCCTAGACGTCTCTGTCCCATTTTTTGGTTCTCTCTCAGTCAAACACCTATCTTCTTGGTGCAGTTTTAATGAGGCATCATTTTGAGAAGGATCTGAGTTGGGTTTTAATTTTTCTTCTGTTGACCTGTCATTACATGCAGCAGAGTTTACAGGTTTTTCCTCTGTTACCAACTTTTGGGATGATGCGTTATTCTGGTCACACTTGTCAAGAGCTTCCTCTTTGCATTCCCATTCTGATGGCTTTTGGTTGTCGGTGTCGTTGTCATTGCTGCTGTGTTGTGTAGATGTTTCCTTGGAGGACGATGACCTTTCACCCCTATGCAATACCTCCACACCTTTCATGATCTTCATGATGGGCCCCAGGGCGTTGATCCCCATGTCCCTCAGGGTTGTGGTTGTCAGAAGCTTGATGCTGGCCATGTCCATCTCGTGCTCTGAGAACAGTTGGACGTAGTCATCCACCGAGTGCAAGCCCAGGCCGCTGAGCCATGACACAACGTCTGGAGCACACAGCGTCTTGGGCTTGGTAATGGCAACAGTTCCTGAAATCATAGAAGGGTATACAATTTTACCATCACAATCGGAAAATTAAATACAGCAGCACATCGGTCAGGTGTCATAAAGAATTCAATAAAAAAAACTCACCTGTATCAGGAGGTGGCTCCTGTGTGGTCTGGGCTAAGGTTGGTCTGTCTGACAGCACTGAACTAAATGGCCTGACTGTTATAACAGTGGGCTGAGGTGTCGTGTGTGACGTCACAGAACTGTGAGAGAAGAGGCTGAATCCTGGATGTGAATTTCTGCTGTTGTGTCCTACCAGAGGGTAAATTGACCCTCCAACGGCTGGTGCAGTTTGTGGTACTGCTGCTGGTGAAGTTAGTGTTGCTGCTGCTGGTGCATATGATGTTGGAGAGCTGGGCAGCAGGGCTGTGCTGGGTGAGTCCAGTCTGTTCACCAGAATAAGAGGACTACTCTTAGACCCAGAGAAGGACTGGAATGGTTTATTATTGATTGAACTCCCATGGCTGCTGGAGTGTTGACTTCGTGCTGAATGAGCTCCCCTGTTCTCTGGGCTTTGTGGTAGATGTCTGTCAGATTTTTCCAGGCTTCGGGTGCTTGCCGATCTTTGTACCATTTCATCACAATAAAAATCATCGGGTCCATACCTCCATGTCTTGGAGGCTAAATATGATACGCCCTGTGTAGAGTCTGCCCATCTGTTAGAATTACCACCCGCGGTGTGCCGCCTATGATGTTTGCTGATCTCATGTTGGTCACTTGGAACAGCGCTGTCACTCCGTCTCCCAGTTTTCTGCTGAGATGTGTTGAACTGTGACATTAAAAACTCAAGAGTCTTTCCGTAACTGTCAAGAACTTGGTCTGAACTAGACTTATCAGCTGAAGTCTTGGTTGGGCTGCTGAAGGAATAAGAAGTCTCTAGGCTTGCCACTGGACTTGCAAAGCCACCATCAAATTTATGAAAGGGTCGACTGACTTCAGCAGTGATGAAATGAGCATCAGGCACGGGTGATGTGGCGGAAGCACTTCTGCGCATGACCTGCGCGGTTGCCTGGGCCGACTTTTTATCTTTCACGGCTGAAGAGCCTGAAGTATCATTTCTGTCGTATCTGTCTTCATTCTTAAGGTGTTTGATGCTCCTTGTATTTGGTTCTCTACTTTCGGGATTAGGTCTGTCATCTTTTTTGTTCAACTGTCTGTCTGAACTAATAACCCATGTTGTAGCGGGATCCAGTTTTTTCCAATTAGCTTTGTCACATTCGGCTCGGACCTTAGGAACTTCTTTATATTTTACTGATGTTTCTTTGTGTTCTTGTCTATCTTGTGATGTTACCCGTTGGCCTGACTGTGAATACAAAGGGAAAAAAAATTATTGGTAACAAACCTAAAAAAATTTTTTTTTTTTTTGAACTCCAAATTCATCTGGTAAAAAATAAAATCAAAAAGTCCTGCAGGGATTTTTAAAAAAGGAAGATTAAAAATAAACTGACAAATATTGGTGAAGTACAACCCAAACATGTATATTTTTGGGATGATTTAGTTATAGTACTACATGAACAACCCAGTGACTTATTAACCAGTAGCAGTGTTACGCACTGGCTTCTATTGTGAGAAATTAATCTCTTGTTTTAAGTTATCGCTCATTCAAACAGTGCCTAACAAAAGACGATACCACAGAGAAATACATTTAAAAAGTTACGACACCCAAAACAGTTGCCAATTACAATTAATAAGATTCAATTTAGTAATAATACAATTACAAAACAAAAGAAATATAATTACAAATCATCAACTTACAGTATGGTAGATCTTGTACCGGTACACAATTAGTAAAATGTGCCAATTAATAATGATGAATGATGAAAGAAAATAAACACATATATGAGCACACAAAGAATAATACGATTGTATCGTAAAGTTAATAATATCTATCTGAATCTCCGTCTCTCTCTGTGCCTGTCAATCCCTTATATATATGGGTCTACCGTCTAGAAACGCCCTTACTTTTCGAATTCAATCGAGAACCTTTGACAAGATACAAGTAGACCTACTAACCATGTTTAATTGGAAGCCGGTAGTAAACAAGATATATCAAACGAATAGGCCACGCCCATCTATGAACGTAGCGTGTGCTAGGGGTCAAGCAAAGTTCACGCACGGGGAAAAAGTGTCATACATAACAAGCAGCTTTTGTTTTTTTTAGAAAATGTTGTTATTTGACTTAATATAGCAATAACAAAAAGAAGGCATACAAATGTAGAATAGTGTTACAACTGTTAAGTTATTCAGCTATAGAGTTCTGATTATTTTTCCATGAATTCGAATTAACATCATAATATTTCTATTCAGGAACTGGACTTTATTCTTAACAATTTTTCTTTTTTTATAGTAAATGTTTATAAATATATGATTTGTACAAAATAATATTTCACCCTAGTTTTCCATATTTAATGACTAATTTTTACAACAGAGGACAATCAGTGACAACTACCTTTTTACTCTCTAGAGTTTGGCTTGCTGTAGCGGGCCGGTCACTTTTCTTGCCTGGCTGGCCCGTGTCTATGATATCCCTTCTGCTGGTCCTTATTTTCTTTCCTTGCCCTGCCCTCAGATGGCCAGCATCTTGCTGGATGAGGTCTTTGTTTGATCTGTATGTGGTCAGCTTGCCCTCACCACCATGCTCCCAGCGTGAACCTGCTATTTCGTTTCTGTCGATCAAAATGGTAAGCCGTTGGATTTAACAGTGTTGTAACTCATACCGTTTTGAAGTGATCATGGTCCACTTGATGAAAATATAGTGTACATAATAGTAGGTATTTCAAACATAGTTGTACTTACCTGATCATCCCTCTCACACTGTTTTCAGTTTCTGATTGGTACCTGTAGTGGAGCATTAGTGCGTTTTCAAGATTTTCAACATCTCGGCGAAGCTGCTGACTTTCTTGGGCAACTTCATGTCTAAGATGTAAACAAAAAGTCAGCTTTAAATAATTGAAATTAATTTTACAAAATAACTTTTTATATTTATGAATACTGATTTATCATAATATTGAGGTCAAGTTTTTGACATTAAAGATTAAATCATACTATAAATTCTTCATCAGAAAATAACTTGACTCTAGAATTATTATTTAATATTATGCAATCCTATGTTTTAAGTTTTTTCCTGCCAGATATCTTTTATTGTTTTGTTTGCTCAAGCTTTTTCTGCATACAGCACTTCTTGAATTTATCATGTTGCTGTGACAAGATTGGCTGATCTGTGTGACATCTTTATGCCATTGTTGCTTAGTTAGACTTCATAAAAGGCTTTTAATGTCAGCATTTTCTAATCAAAGCTTTTGATTTTCCAAATGACTGGTGAAAAGGTCAACGCCCTCTCTTAAATAATATTCTGATATCCTGTGACCTACTGACTCATGGATTCAATTTTAACAGACCAAGTAAACCACAAATAAACAATGTATGATAGACAGTAAAAAATTAATACTGTTGATAGACAGTAAAAAATTAATACTGTAACATTAAAATTAAAGATCATGCTCAATATTTTCTTCTTTCAAGTTCACCTTTTATTTCTGTCATGACCTCTATACATTTTGTGAGAAGACATTATCTTTATTTTTTCTTGATAGTTCTTGCTTGCATATTTGACATAATTCCTATTTTATTTTTTTTCAAAAGAAAGAATTTTTAATGTGTCTATTATTTATGATTTGAACTTGTGCAAAGCATTGCAGCTGTCAGAGTAATAGAATCTGTTGAAATCAGAAATAAATTCAAGGTTAAGCATAAATAAGTACAACACTTTTCCAACAGATTTTAGTTTAATTTTAATGTTTATGAAGCATAGTTTTAATAATTAATATTAATAGAGAAGATTTGATTTGGTTAAATATTTTTTTTTTTAAAACTCCTCCTAGAAAACAAATTTCATTGCTTATTAATAACATTTTTTTCAACAATAATTTAAGTAAAGGCCTGCACTATAACAATAGTGAAAATAGTTAAAAGTTTGTAAAATTTATCAGTTGTGAAAAAAATCAAAGAAGCCAACCAATTAATGGTGTAAAATAATGAGGAATATATATGAGAAGTGGTTCAGGAGCAATCACCTTTTTTTTTATTTGATTTAATTACTTAGCGACTGTGATTAATTATTTAGTAAGTAGGGCCCACTATGTCTCTCTGTCATGTTATTTGTTAACCCACTGCTCTGCTGGCTATTTTGGACTTTAAAATTGGGCCAGAGTCAGGTATAATTTGCCATACAAAGGCGGGACAATTTACGTCATACGCACCATGGTTGTTTATGTGTTCACTTTAAGTTTCCATGTTGGATTCACTACCCTTTGTTCATTTTTGGAATGATGCTAGAATTATTTTTTCTCTCTTTAGGAATACTACGCCAAAGGAATGTTTAGTAAATATTGTTTTTTTGTTGTTTTTTTTGTTTCTTTTCATATAAATTGAAATTTAAAAGGTCAATTCTTGCTTGCATACTTGACATAATTCCTTTTTGGAAAGTTACAAGAATTATTTTTTCTCCCTGCAGTATTAATAAGAAGGAATGTTTAGGAACATATTGCTTTTTCTTTGATTTTTTAGTTTCTTTTCAAATACAGTGAAATACGTTTAACGTGAAAACGCTTACCCCCGAAAATGGGTTAACACAAAATTATAATGCGATCCCGAGTACAAATGTATATTTTTTTTATGTATCGTTAAACATGAAATTCTTTTAGCATAAAGAAATATTTTGGTTCCCTCAGTTTGATATTAAACAATTTTCACTGTAAATGGAAAAGGTCAATTTTAAAAAACACCATACAATTTTAATTTATTTATTGAAAAATTTACATTTATTCATTGGAAGAAGTGACAGCGAAGGAATATTACTAGATTCACATGCAACTACAAAAGCTCACTTGCATGTTTAACGGATATTAAAATAAAAGTTTAATTTTATAATAATTATTAAGTGTCATTTTGCTTTTAAGTATTAATTTATTTATTTAGGCATTTTTTATATAGCGCTTACCTTAAAGCTCTAAGCGCTTTACAATTATTAAAAACATGTAAACTAAGTAAAATAAAAATGAGACACTAGGATAGTAACTACTATACTATAGAAACAATTAAAATGGCTATAAAACGAGGACACTTTGGCACGTTTTGGCCTATACTACAGGATCAACCCGAGATAGAAAATGAGGCAGGGCAAGGAGGGTGCATCACAGGTCATAGGCGGACCTAAACAGATGGGTTTTAAGGGACTTTTTAAAAGTGGACGAGGTTTCACAATGACAGATAAGTATCATTTAAAGTGTTTGAAAATTTACGAATCATTTAAATGTAAAATAAGGAAATTATTTTTTATATGAGGTACTCTGCCTCACATCTAGAGGGATACAATAAAGTAGCTACGTTCACCACAAAATTTATGTACCGGCTGAAATTATTAAATTAAATTTGCATCTTTTTTGCTAATTTTTTTACATTTTTATTCGTCAATTTGTAGAATTTTACACATCTTCCAATTATTTAACACATTGTCTTTTTTTTACATTTTTATAGAATGCACATTTTAAAAAATACTATTAATTCGAATTAAAAAAATACAAAATTTTGTATTCTAATAAATTTTCTTATTTCCCTTTCTTTCTTGGTAAATTTTGGGTTAATGGTATGGGTTTTGCCATGAGTTGTGCAGAGACATCACTTTGGGGATTCCCAACAACGGACTTAGCCTTGGAGTAAATAGACAGATTGTTGGATCTGAACAATGTGTGCGATAATTTTCCTGTTCCTTACTGAGCATTACTCAACTCATAAACTAAATCTGAAGATCGATACAGTTAATATTAAGTAAATTAATTATTAAAATATAACTTCCCGTTTCAAAAGAAATGAAAAAAGAAAGATATTCTTGCTGATACTCCATGACCCAACAAAGGTGGAATAAAAAAGACGCGCTCTACAAGTGCTGTCTTTTCATTACTTGAAAATTGATGTACCCTAATGTTAAAAATTCGATAACAAAAGGGAGACTACTGTTTAAATTGTATTGTAAATGGGCATTGCACAATAACTTAGGAAATATTTGATAACTTGTGGTATTTAAACCAGAATATTTTGATTTGAGGTTTAAAACCCGGTAGACCCCATATTATTAATTATTATAATATCCTTTGTGCAAAATGGCATAGTTTCATTCATAAAAGTTTGCCATGTGCAAAATGATCTTTTGGGGACTAGGACAAACTTTAAATACCAAAATAGGAAACAAAGAAATCTTCTGGGGAGAAATAAGAATACAAAAACTGGCATTAAGTGAACACAAACATACATATTGAAATCTTTATAAATGGGGCTGTAAGACGGAAGTTGAGCTGGGGGAACCCCCATGACCAAATAATATATATAGTGGAACGCTTTGATGGCCTTACCGCTAACCCAAAGTCAATACTTTTGGTAAGTAGTTGAAAGAACATTTTCTCTCCCTTACCCCTCCCCATTTTACAAGAAATGTGTTAGTGACCTTTCACGGGTCATGACAACCAAGATGGCAGCCACGGGAAATTCGATTGCTTAAATTTAGCCACAGTAGACCCACATTACTGACAATAGCCTTTTAAACAGGGTGTAAAAACAATTATCGGTAAATGTGACTTATGTGAAGAGATAGCACCTTGTTTGCTGCGACCCGTGAACTTATGTCCTAAATTTATCCCTAAACCCTAAATCTATCCCTAAACCTAACGTGGACCCTAAACTTATCCCTAGCCCTAAGCTGGGTTTTGACCCTATCGGAACCAGGGACAAAAAACGCAAATGTGCAATCTCTTTACATTAGCCCATTCATCATATTCATAATTCATACTCATACTATGACTTACAATATTCATAATTTTCATGACGTGTCGTGTCAACCAAGATGGCAGCCATGATGGGAAACCCCGGGACGACAGCTAATAATTTACCTTAGTATTTTTCTTATTCATAGCCATTCATCGCTATGACAATGATTCATAATCACACCCTATTCACTAAGTTACTAAACTAACAAGCCTAAGCCTAACTTGACTAAGTGACTTGTGGTACCTTTGCAGATGATTGATTATGTAACCGTTTATATTTCTTTCTTATTACTTCAATCTCAGTGCAATACTCCCCGTATTACACTAATACTACCATTGCAAGTATTTTATCCCTTGAAAAATCCAATTTTAACATATTTTTTATGTCAAGCTACAGAACAAAACGAAAGGCGAAAGTAGCCTGCTGGAATGTTTATTTAGTTCAACATGTATGAATTCTCCTGTGTCAAGAAAGCAGAAAAGGTAACAAACCAGTGAAGATATATTTATTTTAAGTTATGTTATGGAATAGTGCCAAGTAGTTATGGTTCATATTTATTTGTTAATTTCTTTCAGAAATGTAATTTTGAATCCCCCCTCCCCCAACCTTTTTTCTCCCCCCCAACCCACTTCAATAAAAAAATTGTAAAATACATAATGAGAGATTTGTCAGTTAGGCCCTACTTAAGGCATTTTACCCAAGCGTTGTTCCATTTTGTTTAATTAATAAATCCTTATAATAAGGCCACTCTTAGTCAATGCTTCCAGGCCAATGTCCTAGACAGTTGAAATTTAGAAGTCTACTCGATCGACCTGGGCGAGCTTGTATGATGTTTGAGAGACTGCATTGGAGGTAATATGTTTTAAAATCTTCAAGGTCGAGATTCAAAAGCTTGTAATCCAAATCAATGGAATCAATGTTAGCAAATTGAATATACAATTATTATTCCAGTTTCTTCCCTTTATAATAGACGTCTAATTTGGATATTTCTATTTCGTAGTGGTGCTACTTTTAAGGTTCTTTATCTTATTAGATTTTTATCTTTACTCATTTATTAAGTTTCAACTACACATTAAAAGTAAAATATTTTCTTCTTCTTCTATATATTAAGGGGCCACGATCAATTTATTTTACACCTTTAGCTATGATAATTCTGTTAGAAGAAAATAAACATTACATAAAAAAAAGAGCAAGTTAAGCTAATTTGATGTTGAGAGTAGGCTGTTTGAGCCATAGTACAAAGATTGGTTCAGAACTTGGGGCTATTGTAACCTCAATTATTTTCCTGTGAGATTAAATTTAGATAGTGTGCTTTAGGATTAGGATTACCCTTTGTTATAAAATGACATGACACAGCTACAAACTAACAAATATGACACATAAGACATGGCAACAGACTGACATAAAAAATAAGTAACTCCAGGAAAACTTGTGATGAAACATTAGAAATATTCTGTGTATTAATTTAGGGTTGGCATAGAAACAGGCAACAACATTTCTCAATGATTTAATGGCAAGAAAATGACCACACAAAATAGAATGGGACCAAAAAAAAAAAAAAGGCTCTGGAACGCTCATGCAGTTCAATAGGAAGGGGTGCTACCATTGAGTTAAACACAGTAGGCTCATACAGTATGTTATAAACAGGCAAAAACATTTCCCAATGATTTAATGGCAAGAAAATGACCACACAAAAAAGAATGGGACCAAAAAAAAAAAAAAGGCTCTGGAACGCTCATGCAGTTCAATAGGAAGGGGTGCTACCATTGAGTTAAATACAGTAGGCTCATACAGTATGTTAAA